CCTCCTGCCAAACCGCTGCCCAGCGGGACCGGGACCAGCCTCATCCCCTGCCACGCACAAGCCCTGAGACTCCACGCAGGGACCGAGCTGCTGCTGTTACATCTCCTCGCACAGCCACAAAGGCAAATTGAGTATTGGCTTTGGGGGTTACACACTGAGGATGCCCTGAATCTCTTCCCCAAATTTCTCAAAGCACGTGGATGTGTTCTTCAGCCAGTATAGATTTTGATTTCTATTTCGTATCACAGTTTTTTCCACAGCTGAATTTCCAGGAGGGAGTTTCCCCTGTGGCAGGATCCTGCGGGATCAGACCATCTCTTGGCTCTTTTCACTGCCAGGCATGTGACGCCCCGGTCTAACAGCCGCCGGCGCCACAGGTTCAAGGCCAATTTTCTCAGGTGTATAAACACAGCCCCGCGCGGTTCCTTTGAACGAGACTCGTGGTCAGATGCCGCTGCTCGGCTTCCTGGACTCACTGTTTGCTTGGCTGGCTGCGGCCAAACCGTGCCCTCCTCTGCGGGGAGGAGCCGGGCTGGTTTGTGGCAGCAGGGTTCCCGGAGGTCGCACGTCCTCGGGTATGAATGGCTTCGCAGTTAGAAGGTGACGTTATTTTGGGGCTAGCACTGAAAGGATTGATACAAAAATTCAGCTTGACACAGAAAGCATGGAAACAGATAAAAATAGGCTCTTGCCTCTGCTGAGTCATCTCCCGATTTAAAACATGGATCGGGGCGCGTTTTAAGGCTGCTCTGAGACCCGCTGCCTTCCCCGCAGCACCTAGGTCTGGCCGGGGGAAGAGAGCCAAGGCAGCGTTCCCAAACCCTCCGAACAGACCATCGCCGGCTTTCGGTTACCAAGGTCAGTGCCCTTTGCTCGCCAAGACACGGTGAGTCAGCGGGGCTGCGTTCAGGACCGACTGACGATGAATGCGAAAACGAAACCAGCAGCCACTCGTGGTTGCGAGCAGCCTTGCATGAGCGCACCGCAGCCCGACCGCGCTCCGGCAGAGCTCGGCAGCCTCACGAAACCCTCACAATAAAAATACAGGGTAAAACCAGCTCCCCGTCCTGTGTCTCTGAGGGCACAGCTTAGCTGGTTTCTCCCTGACGCCTGGAGAAACGCAGCGGGCACAGGGTGGCTCCTGCGTCCCAGCGACGACGGGGTTAAGCTGATGACTGCACACCACCGGTCTGACTCAGAGCCTGCCACAGGAACGGCAGCAGCACACTCCGACCGACCCAAGCAATCCTTCCCTCAGTGCCTCTCAGCGAAGCCAAACACCGTCTGCGAAACCTGGAAAGTCCAAGCACACGTGTTGGAGGTGTCAACGGTTCTGTCTCCATCGTGCGAGGGCCGATTAACCCCTGAGTGTGCCCAGGAGGGACGGGGCACCCCAGCGCCGAGGTCCCAGATACGGCTCGATTCCCCCCTGCTCTGCAAGTAACAAAAATATCACATGTGGAGAATGCAGTGATACAGAAATACCCAGAACTTGGCAGCTCTGCTAAAGTGGCAGCGTTTGCCTCCCTTTTTCTTGGTAGTGTTGAGCTTTTCTCTGAAAACGTCAGGGTTTGCATGAAAAAACTCCTCTCTCTCCTGCATCCTGGCATTCACATGATGCAGGCTGTTGCCCTTGGGAAATGGGGGAGGACGGCAATCGTGCTGCCACAGGAAGGAAGAAAAGAAAAAGCAGCTGCGAAAGGACAGGAAAGCCAACATGTGGGGATGTTAGCTGAGACACGAGTCCCTGCCGAGCAGCGCTGCTGCCTCAGCCCTCAGCCGCCCTGGCGAGGCCAGGCTGGGGCAGCCCCGGTGTCTGCTGGGGCTGTCCTCAGTGCGTTCTCAGCCGTGGGACGCCAGGCAGGCGCTTTAGCTACGTAGCTTCTCCCTCTTTGGATCTTCTCCAAAGCAGCAAGCACCAGCTGCCTGCAGCGGTCGGAGGAGCCGGGTGCCGGGACGATGCCGCTCCCCGCCGCCACGCTGCTGGCTCAGCCCCATGTGTTCAGCGGGGCACGCGTGGGCACGGCGCGTGCTGTGCCATCAACGGTTGCGCAACCCTGCGCGTGCAAACGGTTGTGCGCTGTCACTGGGGGCATTTTTCCTGAGAAGGGCGTGGTGCAGGGCCGCAGGGCCCCCGGAGGACGGGGGATCTCCAGCCTTGGATGTTTGCAGCCACGGCGGATCCGGCTGAGCCATCGCTTCGGTGCCTGTCTGGGTGCTGCGCGCCTGCCAACAGCCCCGTGTGGGGGGGCTCCGCGCCTCGCTGGGCCACAGCAGCAACACAAATGAAGGGATGGAACGCAAAGAAAGATGCCACAGCTCAGTGTTAGCTCAGTCCCTCCGCATTCGAAGCACAGGCAGATCACAGAATCCCAGCATGGCAGGGGTTGGCAGGGCCCTCTGTGGGTCACCCAGCCCAACCCCCTGCCCAAGCAGGGTCACCCAGAGCAGGCTGCACAGCACCGCGGCCAGCCGGGGCTGGAATATCTCCAGAGAAGGAGACTCCACAGCCTCCCTGGGCAGCCTGGGCCAGGGCTCCGTCACCCTCAGAGGGAAGAAGTTC